ACAAAATGCTCTTAAATATATAATCTCATTTCATTCTCACAGCAACCTTGAAATATACTTTTATCTTTTCAAGGCTCAGATGAAGTTAAGTAGCTAATTTGCCCAAGGTTTACACTGGTTTCTAAGTGGCACCTAGTGTGTACCACACTACCTTATATCTTTAAAAATCTGTCTTGAAAGCTTCTAGAATATATGATGTACTTTAAAAATTTGCTTCACAATATACAGAGGCATTGCGTATACTCCGTACACGGATAAGGACCTTAATAGGTATTAATGATCTTTGTCCCCAAATCTTTGCCTCGGAGGCCGTCAAAAAGGCTGAGCGGGAGGTGGGCTGGGCTGGGCGCGAGGCAGAGGCGCGGACACCGCGTCCTGGAGGCTCGGTGGGCTTGCGTCAGGGTTCAAAGCGTGGTTGAATGCTGCCCGAGGAGGGAATGCGAGGGCGAGGAGGGTGCACAACGGAAGGGATCAATCTCGCGGTTTCGAGGAGGGAACAAACCTCGCCCCCCACCCGCTTCCCTTCCTCAGTGAGGACGGTTTGGGAGCGGGTGGGGAAAACCGCGTCCTCGAAGCGCTCTCGCGCTCCCGTTTTCCCCCCAGCGCGCGCGCTCCATCGCCGGTCCGCAACCCCTGAGGCCGGCGATGGCCGCGGGTCGGGATCCGGTGCAGGGAGGACGGCTCCCACCCCAAGTGGCCCACCCCAGGTGTTAGGCCCGCTGGTCGGGATTCGGCGGGCAGGCCGGGCCCCCGGCCGCCGCGCAGCCGCGCCTGGAGGGCGGGGCCGGGGCGCGCGCCGGGGCTCTGCACGCGGCGCCTCGGTCTGGGGCAGCGCGGGGCGGCCTCAGCCGGCGTCGCGCGCGCTGTGTGTGAGCGAGGTCGCGCGCGCGCGCGCGCGCACGCCAGGCGAGTGAGGGAGCGAGGAGCGGCCGGGCGTGAGTGTGTGGGAACGAGTGTGTGTGTGGGAGTGGGGGCGAGGGCAAGCCGGAGTGACCGCGAGGCTGTGAGAAAGTGGGCGAGTGTGCGAGGGCGCCGGGCCTGGCTGCGGGAGCCGCGGTGGCGGAGGAGGAGGGAGGCGGCTCCCGGCATCCCGACCCCATCCCCCTTCTCCTCGGACCTCCATCCCGCCCGGCAGCCAGCCCTTCCCTCGGAGGCCCCAGCCGGGCTCATCTGGCCGAGTGCAAGGGAGCAGCCGCCCGAGCCAGGTGAGCGGTCCGATCGCGTCCCTCCCCGGGGTAAGGAGTGAGGTGGAGGCGCGCCCGCCCCGCGTCCCACTCCCCGCAGCGGATGAGTTCGGCCGAACGGACTCGGAAGCGAGCCGGGGCTCGGCCCCGGGAGTGAACAGGGCTGTGCGCGCCCACCCGGGGCCCAGGGTTTGGGAAGGCCGGGGGTCGTCTCAGAGCCTGACGCGATGGGAAGCGAGGCAGAACCTGGGCGGGCTTGGCGGGTGTGCTGGGCGGGGGTCGACGATGCCTTGTGCGTGTGACTGGGAGGAGTGCTGGCGAGGCAGCGTCCTCGGGCGTGAAGTATGGTTTCCCTGTTGTGAGGGGTGAGGGGGTGTGGTAACCCTGGGAATGCGCTGTGCGAACCTGTCCCCAAGAGTGTGGTCATCTCTGCTGCCCCTGCTTCCATCAGACAAATTCCTGTGGTATGACCGAGGGAGGAGGATGTGGTGTTCCTTCTGCAGTCATGATGTTTTTAATCCCATGTTTTTCCTCCTTACGTGTAAATTGTAGACAGTGTGACAGTCATTCCTCTTTCCTTTGACAGCCCTCTGAATAAGAATGGGGTGACAAAATAATTGCCTGTTTTGTGTTTTTTTAAAGTATTTGACTCTGATGCAACTCTTACCTCCCCTTTCTCCCCTTTAAAAAAGCCAAAATAGGGGATAATTTTAAAATTACTAATTTATCTTTATGTCTTAGAGCAGATTTGTAATCCCAGTATTTTATCCCATTTGTGTTTATGAATAGAGATGCGTGAATTCTTTCTATGAGTGGAGTTATTGTACTAACCGTGTTGAATGTAACTTAGATGTAAATTTTCAGTGTGCTGTTTTCCCATTAATTACGAAATTGTTCCAACGTCTTTGTGGAGTTGGTTAAATGCTAAATCTGTATGGGAAGTATATGGGCAGCGTAGTATGGAAGGTATTTCTTTTTTGTAGATTTGACATGTTTATTATATTTATGGATGTTTGTAGTAACTGTAACCATTAAACTTTAAGTGTTATTTTCATTCTTGCACAACATTGGGTAGTTTAAAAGTTTTTTTTTAAAAAAACAATTCACTGTCAAAATACTTTAAGATATTCATTTGGAACAAAACACTCTGAAATTCCAATCCTGGAGATTTAACATTTATTTTCTATCTTTTAGAATGAAAAACTAAACAGTCCTCGTTAAATTTTTTGTCTGACGGTTACTGTGTGTTACTTGGTTAGTATGTCAAAGGGGAAGAGACCTCTTTTGTTTTGAGATAATCTGTTATTTCTTTCTATCCTGGTTAGTGCTATTAATTCCCTTCTTTCATGTCATAGATTTAGTTGTTAGTTTGGCAACATGGCTGTTGATGTTTTCATCTTTCTGTCTCCCCGTTCTTTCTTTCTTGTCTTCTCTTACCCCCACCAGGTGCTGGAGTCTGCTTGTCGGGGAGGGGGGCAGTCTGTGATTCTGAGCACAGAGAGCCAAGAAGGGGAACAGCAAATTTCAGTCCCATACAATCCTCCACTCAGTCTAGAGTCACTTTTTCTTCCCGCCTCTTCCCCTGTAGGGGGTAAGGAGCTGCATATCTAACCTTGAGACTTTTGGCTACCAGTTAAAATTCCACTTAGTATCTGTGGGGATAGCTTTTAAATGTTTTTCTCAAGTTTCCTTAGAGCCCCTCTTGATAGCATCTAGGGGTGGAGGGGAGAGTGACATCAAGAAACTATCCCTTTTCCCCCCCTTCTCATTCAGTTCCCTTTTCCTCTTCAGAGGGAAATTGCCAGCAACATCTTATAAATCCTCTACCTCTTCTCAGCCATATTGTGAAGAAACACACTAAAGTGAACATTCTGTTTTCCTTTGACCAATGAACACCAACCAATCTTCAGGCATTATGTTTGTTGGGGGCACAGGATGAACCAATCCTTTAAAGTATCTCCCAAGTCTTCCTTTGCCCAATTTGTATCCACCTGGGATTTGCTACTGGGGTAAGTGACTACACTGATTTTTGAAAACTTCTCCTCACCCTTTTGAGGTGAAAGACTGAACACCATGAGCCCTGGAAGGGGTTGGGGGAAGGGGGCAGAGCAGAGCGAGTTGTCCTACACCTTGGGAAGTAGCTTTTATCATCTTCCCTTGGGGAGCAGGCATAGAGACCTAAACTGAGTGAAGATGGGTGGAGGAAGAACTTCTATACCCATGAACCAACATGTGAAGAGTGAGAGAAAACCAAACATAAAGTAAGGAGGGTGAGTTTTATTGTATGTTGCTTGCTGACAACTGTTTTGCGGGAGTGCTTTAGTGATGTGGATTTGTAAAGAGAATCTATGTCAGGTTAGTTTAAAAAGAGTATTCTCTGCAAGTGGGATTAAGTTATAAGCATATGAGAAAAGAGCCTTTAGAAATTGTAATAATTATGTTTGAGGTAGTAGATTGTGATAGGAATGATTAAAAATATATTATTTTAAAATGTTAGCTGTATTGGCATGTGCAGTTGTTTCAAGAGAGGTTGAATAGGGGAGATTAGGTACAGATGTTGGGGAAATTGTCTTTCATTACTTGGGAATTTTCCTGCTTGTCCTATTAAGGGTTGTTAAGAAATAATATAGTACCTACAAAAATATCTGTATATAATGTATTTTAGAGTCATGTGCCATATGTATCTGTGCACATGTTAGGTTTACAAAAAAGGACTGACTTTCTGGCTTCATAGTAATGAATGCCATGGTGTTATTTTCAATGTTTTCTTTTCCAATGTTTTTTTTCCTTTTAAAATTGGCTTGGAGGACAAAAGCCACAGAGCTCGCCAGCTCTACTCCCTTAGAGCCTGATCTGCATGGAACCCATCTGCTTACATCTTTTTTCCTCATCTTAACCGAAATTGTTTTTTTTCCTCCCCAACTTTAATTGTTAACAAAGCTAATTATTTCAGGATCAGTTGTATAATGATGACGGAAAGTAGCTTTAGGCTTGGTTGGGTTGTTTGTTTATGAGAAATACCAGTTTTTGACAGCTATGTTTCATTCGTATGGGATACACATTTGCTTGGTATTTAATGTTGAAAATAGCTATGGTTTTTTTGTTAATCCCTTATGATTCAATATAGCAAACTCCTTAAAATAACTCCTAAAGCCTTAACTTTTGTCTGTCATAGATGAGGTTCTATGTTGCCCACTGGGGATAACAGCAGAGAATAAAACAGGGATTCTGCCTTCATGGCATTTACAATCCAATTTCATTGATCCCTGTACTTTTCATCTGCCAGTCAGTCTCCCCAGCAATGTCTGGAGGAGTCTACTAGATTCTTGTATAAAATGTGTACCAATTTGTGAATTGATGAATTAGCAAAACAAATTTGTGTAAGCATTGATATGCCCGATTCATTTTTACTACTCTTCTTTCAAATGGCAACACATTACCAAGTTGTGAGCAAAAAAAAAAAAAAAAATCCAAACCTACCCCTTACTTAAATGTTTTTAATCTAGTCAGTTCCTTATAGTCCATTCTTTTCTCCCTCCCTCCCTCCTTCCCTCCTTCTCTCTTCTCTCTTCTCTCTCTTCTCCCCTCCCCCGCCTCCCCTCCCCCGCCCCCCCAATTTCTCCCTCTCCCTTCTTATACCAGCTCTTGGCTTCATGTTCTTAGGAATAAGGCCTCCACACTAGAACATGGATTTGCTACATAAGATGAGATGAGTTCTGTTACTTACTGTTCTGCTGTCCCATGTCTGACAGCATTTTAAACTTGGATACATCTTGAAAACTACATCTAGAAAATCCATGCAGGTTTACCCAAATAGCAGCCTTTGAATTCCCTGATGCTTTGGAGTTAGCAGTTGTTAGCCATATCTAGAAAGCCTTTGGCTGGAGTATATTAACAGCTTTCCAACAGTTTTTTTCAAAGTAATATCCAAATGTTCAAAGGAAATTTGACCCAACATTTAACATGGTAGATATGATGAACTTTGTGCTATACTGTGCATTGTCTTGGGAACATTTTTCAAATCTTGTGCCATGTTCTAGAGATACTTTGATATAACATTCCTCTGTTAAGTGAAATCATTAGAAATTTTATTTGCATTCCAGAGAAAAAATTTTTTTTTCTTTTTTAGTTTAATGGGTTTTATATACTACAGACTATTTTGGGAATTTTAGTAACTAAACTACAGGTAATTTAAGCAACACTTTTCTCACCTTTTAGTTGAAAATGTGTAAAAATTTGTATGTTAATTTGCTTATGATATTTTTTTCTTTTCTAATTTTCCTTTCATTATGGTAAAATATATATACAACATAAAATTTACCGTCTTAACCATTTTTAAGTACACAGGCTAGGGGTATTAAGTACATTCATGTTGTTGTACAGCCAGCACCATATCCATCTCTGGAAATCTTTTTACCTTGCAAAACTCAAACTCTATACATAAAAAAAACAACTCCCTAGTCACCTAACCCCCCAGCCCCTGGCAACCACCATTTGACTTCCTGTCTCTACGAATTTGACTACTTTAGATACCAGAGCATAGTATCAAGGTTCATCATGTAGCATGCATCACGATTTAATGCCTTTTTAAGGAATAGTATGATATACTACATTTTGCTTATTTATTCATCTGTCGACAGACATTTGGGTTGCTTTTACCTTTTAGCTATTGTGAATAGTGCTGCTGTGAACGTGTGTACAAATACCTCTTTGAGACTCTGCCTTCAGTTCTTTTGGGTATATACCTAAAAGTGGAACTGCTGGATCATATGGTAATTCTGTTTTTAATTTTTTTTTTTTTAAGATTTTTATTGGGGAATTGGGGGGATGGGAACAGCGCTGGGGAATTGGGGAAGGGGAACAGACAGGCTGCTCACGGCGGCTTGAGGGCTGCTCACGCTGGCTGCTGGCCACACACGGTAGCCCAAGGCAACCCACTGCCACAGGGGCTGCAGCCTCCGCAGTCACTGGCGACTCACGGCAGCCCAGCTCCAGGTTGAGCTGTTGTTCAGCTTCTTAGCTGTAGAGGGTAGTGTCACTGGCCCTCATATATGGTATCCGAACTGGGGCCCTCTGGTGTCCCAAGCCAGCTCTTAACCAGCGTGCCACTCAGCTGGCCCTATTTTTAATTTTTTCAGGAGCCGCCATACTGTCTAATACAGCAACAGCAACATTTTATTACATTCCCACCAACAGTTTGCAAGGCTTCCAGTTTCTCCACATCCTTCCCAACACTTTTTTTTTTAAAGATTTTTATTGGGGAATTGGGGGGATGGGAACAGTGGTGGGGAATTGGGGGAAGGGGAACAGACAAGTTGCTGTTATTTTGTTCTTCAGTCTAGTTGTGGAGGATGTTGCTTCACTGGCCCAAGTTGGCACCATCATTGTGCTCTTCCCGGGCAAGGCACATCAGTCGCCGGCTTCTGGACGGCCGCTCATGGCGACTGCTGGTCGCTCACGCTGGCTGCTGGCCACACACGGTAGCTCATGGCAACCCACTGCAGTAGGGGCTGAAGCCTACACCTTCGCAGGCGACTCACGGCAGCCCAGCTCCAGGTCGAGCTTTTGTCAGCATCTTAGCTGTAGAGGGCAGTGTCACTGGCCCTCATATGTGGGATCCGAACTGGGGCCCTCTGGCGTCCCAAGCCAGCTCCCAACCAACGCGCCACTCGGCCGGCCCCCAACACATTTTTTGATAGTAGACGTTCTACTATGTGTGAAGTAGTTTCATGGTTTTGATTTGCATTTTCCTAGCGATTGGAGATGTTCAGCATCATTTTTTACTCATGACATTTTAACATAAGATCATTTTTAGCTCTTTGAGGGCTGGGACTATATCTATTTGTTTACCCTGATATTTTTAGGTAGAGTGCATTGTAGAAACTCAAATATTAATTGAATGTATTACTTAATTGAATGCTTAGTTTTGTGTATTTAGTAGTTCTCTTAAGAGTCTTAGTTTATCTGCATTTATGACTAATTTTTGGTATTTTGGGGGGAAGGATATAAAAATACTTCTCCAGGGAGGTTGTGAAAAGGAATATAAAAGTTATTAAATGGTTAAATGTAAAATGATGATCTTATTAGCCTAAGAAAAAAGCCCCACTTATAAACAGTACCATTACTTCTTGACATGTGTAAACCTTGATGTCAAGGGAATAATTTCCTTTAGCTTTTGAGCTAAGTATAATAGAGTATGTTTGTTAAGGTAAACTTCAGTGGTCTGTAATAAAGAATCCCCAAATATCATTGATGTAAACAGAATAGTAGTTTATTTCTTTCTCTTGCAAAAGGCATAGCAGGCAGTGCAAGGCCATGACACTACACAATTGTTAGGAATTCAAGTTCTAACATATAGTTGTGCTTTTCCTAGGGTTGACTCCTATCCTCATAGTCAGATGGTTGTTAGAGCTATAGTCATAACATCCTCATTCCAGATAGGAGGGAGGAAGTGTTAAGGGAGAGGAGACTCCTAAGTATGCTTCCTGGAAGTTCAGTGCAGCACTTTCACTAAGCTCTCATTGGCCAAAATTTTGTTAAATGACCATATCTAGTTGCCAGAAAGCCTAGGGAATACAGTCTTTTAGTAATTAATACATGGCATTGTACTCAGCTTAATGTCAGATATGTTATTACTAAGGAGTAAATAGGGAATGGATATTGTGACACAAGTGGGAATCTCTGCCGTAGAATGTATGGAATTTGAAGTCACTGTGGGCTCTACCACTTTCTAATTGTGTGAATTTAGACAATTAACCTCTCTGCTAGAACAGCTTCACCTGCTAAACGAAGATAATAATGTGTCAAAGGGATGGTTATGAGGATTAAATGAGAAGATACAAATAAACTGCCTAACACAGTATTTGGGCATATACTCACTGAAAATGTGAATTTATTTTCTTTATCCAAATGCCCTGTAATATCTTTAGATATAGTAGAAAAGAGTACAAAGAGATCAGAAAACCTGACTTCTAATCTTGCCTCTATTATTGTGATGTCTTGGGCAGGC